ACTGTTCATTTCAGCTTGTTCGGCTGGTTGGTCGTCCATTGCGTGCTGCTTTAAACGGTCTTGGCTTACTATGTTTGCTGTTGCTGTGCCTGTTGTTGTCGCCGCTGCTGCTGCTGTTCCAGATGCTCTTGCTCGTTGCAGTTTGCACCGGCAGTTCTGCGCCTGCTTCTGCTACTGCGGCAGTTGGAATTAATGCTGCCGCCCCATTGTATTCGCTGCACTCATTGTTGTCGCTGTGGCTGCCGCTGTCGACGACAATGCCGCCGGTGTTGATAGATGCCTGTTAATCTCTGATACTTATTTATGCTTTTGTCAACTGTTGCAGGCTGCTCCTGCTGCTGTTGTTGATTGTGGTGGCCGTGGTATCAGCATTGTCGATGCTGGTCTGCTGGCAATGCCTTGCGTTTGCCTTGTGGTTAGCGAGTTTGTGCTTCCTGTCTGCGAACAGTTCGTGTGGTCTACATGGAGCAATGGCTCCGAACACTGACACGCACGAGATAACGCAGCTGGTACACAGGCGTTCTCCCCTACTACGTGTTTGTATGTATGCTTGAATGCTAAGGGACCGTACATTTACGAACATAGATAACTGAGGGGTTCTTGTGGGTACAAGCGCATGCGTGCTAGGTGTTCAGGTTCATGTGTAAATATGTACAGGCAAGGGTACATCCCTTTGTTCGTTTGTTTGTTGGGTGCGAATGTTGAGAGGAAGCCACAAGTAGGTTCTCGAGCAGGACCAAGGCTCCAGATCGGTGACTTTCGGCCGCATCTGCTCTCCCATACCACCCTCCTGGAGCATCCTCTCTAAGGTGAGGTCACGGAACTCTTCCACCTGAACGGCCAGATGCCCTCAACGCCACTTGATGCGAGACTGCAGAATTGGATCCACTCCCACAGGCCCTCCCGATGGTCGGCCCTGCGAGTATGCCGGAAGGTAGTTCCTACTCCGACCTGCGCACCTTGCAGGCAACATGCAGGCAGGTGAACATCATGGGCACTGGATCGAACTCCATGGGTGAATTCGCGCTGAAGAACCTGTCAGGGAATCGCATAATTTGGCTTTGCACGTCTCCGAGTGTCGGCCTGAACACGATGAGGCTCGTCAAGCCTAGCGTCAACCCTAGCAACTCCTGAGACCCCACTACTCCGAGAAAAGATTTCGCTCTTGGGGCTTCAAAACTGGCTAGCAGACCCGCTGTAGGGTGGGCGTTGTGCGTCTGAAGATGCTTGAATAACCAGAGGTTCTGCGCCGCGCTATTCGATTGCTCCTTCGAGACTCGGCAGATACATGATTTTGCGGCTTCTTCACCAAGCCTCCCATCCTCAAGGCTGAAAGGTGTTCGGGTTGTCATTGTCTTTGCTTCACACCCCAACCTCTTGAAGAAGATCAGCGACGTCCACAGCACCTCCTGCGGAGCAGAGCACAGCCGACAAAGCTCCGGCAGCTTCTGGGCATAGAAAGCCTGAGCGGTTCCAGCAGGGATTTTGCCACTGGATCATCATCACAAAATATTCCTCGAGACCTCCCGAAACAGACTCGAAACATACACATCCAGGCTTCCAAAACTTGAATGCTGCTTCTCCACTGCATGAGCCAAGACACAACAAGGTTGCAGCTTTCCTCAGTGGCATCGAACATCCATCTGAATTTCTCCCAGATAGGTTTGAAGATTGTAGAACGGCCCCGGGAATTTGTAGCTTGAGAAGCTCTCGTGGATGGAAGCAACGTGGCCCCAAGAAGTAAGGCAGCCCAGGTTCCTTCAGATTCAGCGGCCTGGGCTCTGCCTGAAGCACGCGGAGGCCCTGCTCTCGAAGGGTCTGCGCGGCACGCTCGTGCGCCGCCTCGTGGCTTTGCTCCAAAGCCTCTTTGGTGAAGAGGTACCTAAGATGCTGTAAACAGAGGCTCTACAAATCCTACAACGTGGATCCCCTCCTGCCCCGCCACCTTATGTCTGTCTCTGTATGCGTGGGTCGGCGAGCGCTGCGCACGCTAGCAAGCGAGCTAGCGCGCGCAAAAAAGTCCGTGGGAGGGTGGGATGGGTGGCTGGGTGGGGGCTTGGGCTGGTCCAGTGGGCCTGCGGGCGGGTCTCTGTTTTTTCAATGCGTGGGGAATGTATGTACGTGGTATTGATACGATGCTGTACCATGTGGGGCTGGGCTCGCCGCAGAGCTTTTTCACGCGGGCCCTGCACGGAGGCAGGGCAACCGTTGTACACGACACTCGCAAAGAAATTTAAGGGTTCAGGGGAAGGAGATTCGGGTTTCTTGCTGTACCAAAGGCACTGATAATGTCTCGGGCCCTCGTCGTCCATGGCTTCGACACAGCTTGTCACCCGAAAGGCGCTAAAAATCCTCAACAGTCACAACTTCCACATGTGTTAAACCGAAATGCTACGTACTGTAAGCTGGGGGTTTCGATGGAGTAGGGAGAGTGTTTCGGCGCTCCAAGGTCTCGACCGTGGGGTTGTCCTCTCTATCGACCTAGCGCTGTCTTGCGCTGTCACAGCTAAGCTGGTCTCCGGACCGTGAAGCTCCCCTTCGCAAGCCTCTCTGTTTTGCAATGTCCTGGTGTACCACAGACAGCAGCCTTGCTAAACAATGATCTGGGGCCGAGACTTGGTTTTCAACTGCGAGCCTCAAGTATGCAATCATTGTACCACTGACAGTCCCATGAGGCGGCATCTCGGCCGCTTGAGCATGAAGCTGCGGAAGCAGAAGAGGAAGACTTTCGCACTTTGCATTCGTTGCAAAATCCAAGAGACCGAAGCCCTAGGCCATGAAGCCTAGACCGGCGGAAAGTCCCAAACCTCTCGTCACTAGCCGCGCCTCACCGACGTATCTCTCTAGCAGGTTGTGCTCTGATCCCATCTCACTGCCGGACCTTCCGCTGGCAGCTTCCGGGGATCTTCTCGGGCTTTCCAATGGCACCGGTTTGTCGGGGGTTGTGAAGTTTAAAGCCAAATCTCCAGCCAGGCTGGCGCTTTCCACGCAAGTTTCGCATGTATCTCACAGCCAACTGACCAAAAGCACGGAAACAGCTTCGGGGGTGCTCTCTGTCTCTCGCTCGATCTCGCCAGCTGTCGCTCTAGGTGAGCCCTATGTACTGCAAAGAGCGCAACTGGGGCAACTTTAACATCCGGAAGGCCGCTGACAGCGACAATCCGAGAGTTTAAGTGCCTGGACCCTCAGATTTGGGGGTCGTCTGAGAGTTCAGGGATGGGCTTCGTCGCACATCTGGCCAAAGTCTGACTTAGATAGGCCCATGTGCGACAACAACAGTGGGCCCAAGGCTTCAGGGGTAGATTGAACCACATCTTCCGGATGCAACGCAGCAAGGGTAGCAACTTTCTGGATTGCACTGGTCCTTGATCAAGTCGTGAACTCCTAATTCCTGCACCCACCTCCCCGTGCGGCCTGAGTTTGAGCAGGTCCGGATGCGCTTTCGGGCTCAGTGCTTTGTCTTTCAGCTCCTGCGACTCAACGACCAGCTTATGTAAACTGCCACTGCGGCTTGACTGGACTTGCGAAGGGCTATAAGACCCACGTGCTGAGTATTCAATGTTCATAGAGATGCATAGAATTGATGGGTCGAACATTCCCAACAAACACCGCTAACACAGCAGAAATCTTCAGCCGGGGCAGAATTGTGCATCGGAGAACTTGGCAATGCCAACCTTTAACGTCTGGCGTAGTACCAGAGGGCCTGGAACTGCTTGCTGTCGGTGATGCGCTGAAGTCTTTCTTCGATCGAGTGCATCTGTGAAGCCTCAGGCACTGCTACTCGTCCAGCTCCAGATTGACCGAAACTTTACATCCATTCTCCTCCCAGGTCCCAAAGCACCTAAATTTTTGCCTTTCATGCTGCAAAAAGAACAAGACTATGTACTTGCCCATGAAGTCCGAAGTTTGTGTGGCGTTCAGCGACGTTCTCAGGAAGGCATTTGACAGATGCTAGTTTTACTATGGATTGCCGTACTTTTTCTGCTGCTGGCGCTACCCTTCGTGCTAAAGCAATCCGGTGGTTCTGACTTTCGACTCGCCCAGCGGCTTACCACGGATAATGATTGGCAAGCTGGCTGCTCTTGCTATTCGTCTCTCAGGAACCACTGATTGGCACCACTTCTCGTAAAGTTACCTTATGTATGCCGCAGATGTATTCAGTGTCGCGACCTCGAGTTTAATGCAGCGGGCCTCAAGACGCTCCAGGCCGACCACTCTCACCCCAAAATCCTAAACACGAATAGGGCCGGGGTACAGGGTCTCAGGGGTTAGATCGACTGAGGTCTCCTCTTCTGCTTTTCCGTGCACCGCATCTGCGCTTGGGCCGTCGGGACTTACGAGCTTTCAGCGGTCGGAGCTTCAACTACCAACTCCGAAGCTGTTGAAGGTCTGATTGGCAATTGGATTGAATTCTGCTGACCGACGTGCTGGTGTGGGTGCTGGACGAAGCGAAGTTGTATAATGCTGAGATCTGGGTCTGGGAGCTCCCAAGTTAGTCTCGAGCAAGCTTTAGTCTGAAGCAGTGACTAGCCACTGGTAATACCCACGCCACCGACACTTTGCGAGGTTCATGCCTGTGAAGCTACGCACCTAAACGGCTAAACCTTACACCCGAGAGCATACTGCATCAAGGGTGGACAGGGTTCAAGACCCGAAAGCTCGCGCTGAAAAGACAAGAGCTCCGTCCACTCCCAGACAGGGCGGCAAAAGTGCTGCCGAAAACGGTTGAACTGCCCCACTCGGATAGGCCAAGGGAAGGCATGCCAAAAGGGAGCGTGAAGTCCTTCGCAGCTCCCAGGGACCTTCAAACAATGCCGCGGTCAACTGCCAAAGCCCTCAGACATCCTAAACTCCTAAACTGCAAGCTCTCTCCCATTCCCGTAAGAGCCTTCCATCCGAAGGCCTTCTTTGCACTTTGCCCGCCTCTAAGGGGTAAAGAAAATTCACCCACCCGTACTTTCCGCCGAAGCTTCACTGCAGCCCGGGCACTATCGTTTAGGTTAGGCAAGGCCCAGTGCCTTGCCGAAGCCATAGGCGGTGAGCATGGTGCGAAATGGCATGCCCACCACGACCTGTCCGTACAGGGGCAGTTTTGAAGCTTTGTGGGTCGGTAGTTTCGGCAGCTTCTTACGGGTGTGGGATCATTGGAACTACGTCCGAGACCTTGCCTCGTTTTGCCGCGTCTTGACAGCTTCGTACGCAGCCTCGGCAACCTCCTCCACGGACTGCGTGACGAGGCTGGACACCGGGGACTTTCCATCAAGCAACGTGTCCATGGCAGACTTTCGGCTTCCTGCCGAACCTCGCCATTGTGCACGAGTGCGGAAGTCGCTACGAATGACGCCGGGGTGCACCGTGGCCACATGCACACCTCTCGCTGCAAGCTCGAGTCTCAGGGAGTCTGCAAAGCCTTGCAAGGCATACTTGGCTGCACAATAGGCAGTCATATCCGGCAAAGGAACCCGGGCACCGAAACTATTCACGAAGCAAACGGTGGGAGCCGGACCAGACCGCTCTTTCTGCCGAAGTAGCTCTGGTAGAAATGCCCGCACGGTCGTCACGTGACCCAGAAAGTTCACATTGAGCTGAGACTGGAAGTCTTCCAGTGATGTGTTCAGAAAATCGCCTGTCATGCACACTCCGGCATTGCAGACCACCACGCGCACATCCGTGAACCGTGCAACGACAGTGTCCAAAAGTAGCTGGATAGAGTCCGGAGATGTTATGTCGCACGGGACAGACAATGAAAGCCTGCCTGGCTTGAGGACTGCTTGGCAGCAATCTTCAGCCTCTCGCAGTGCCTCCGCACCTCTCGCAGCGAGCACCACGTTGTAGCCATCCTGCGCGAACTTCAGAGCCAGGGCCCTGCCCGTCCCTTGACTAGCCCCAGAGATGACGACCGTGGGCCCACCGCAGGGAACCACATCCCGGATGCCCTTGCCAGAGGCGCGCAAATGCGTCGCTCGTCGGCGTAAAGCTTTCGTTGCCACTCGCGAGAGCGCGGTGCCGATGGCACCGACGGCGAGGAGGGATGGTGCAAGACCGCTGTCAGCTTGAACGAGCCATGTGGGGCGGGAATCCGCCGTGGAACCACGCAGGTGGGAAGGAGCTGTGCGGCTGCAACTTCCGTGAGTAGCCGGCACAGAGATGCGCATGAGCATTGCTGTCTATGTTTGCTCTTGAGAACTCGATGTCTGTTAGTGTTTGAACCGTTGCCGTCCCATCTCCATGCGACGACGTGTTGCTGGAAGGGTGCGTGATAAAGGATAAAGGTGGAAAAGAAGCCCAAATCCCCCAACTCTCATGTAAACGTAGCCCTTGTCATGGAGCCATGATTGATGCAAACCTGACTTTTCAGAAGATCTTTATCTAACAGAAGCTCATAAACCCATCTCTCAGGTAAACGTAGCCCTTGTCATAGCGCCCTGATTGACGCAAACCTAACTTTTAGAAGATCTTTATCTAACTGCTTCGTGGCAGCTTGGCCCGGAAACCGCTGCGGTGATCATGAAGATACCATTTACACTTACACTTTGTTCATGAGCCCCCTCCCCTCATGGCCGCCCCGGCCCCAGCCCCTCCCCCCATTACATACATACACACATACATTACATATATTACATACACTACATACATACATAAAAAAATACATAGCAAATGAACTCACAAGCAGGAACCACGACGAAACCTTGCTACGACCTCAGCTACTCGCAGGCACGCACACAAGTTACACAGATGAGCTTGAGCAACCATCCTTGTCTACATGCAACCTGTAACCACATCGCCAATCTACATGGATGCCTACAACCATGCCTACCGCCTGTGATGTTTTCAGCATCTTCAATTAACCCTGAACAACCCCTCCAACCACACGAACTGAGTCCCCGAGCCAACATGTCCTGCATCCTCGGATGGGCTGAACCGCACAATGCTACTAGTTTATGCCTTCGGGCTGCCGTCCTCGGGATTAAAAACAGCTCGTAGTAGTGCTTGGTTCGCGAACGTTGCACCTGTATGCGCAGGCCGGAGCTTCACCGTCAATGCTCTCAGTCTAAAGCTGAAACTTGTTGAGCCGTAAACCTTTTGGGACCGCGTTTGGGAATCCAAAGTTCTCGACGTCCTTACCCTGAGGATGGGAAATGCCCATATGCAGATAGTGAGTTCTCGATGAGATCGTGGAGGCTGTAGCAAAACAGTACAACTTGCCAACTTGTGGACCCCGGAAGTATGAAACTAGCAGCCCAAGCTCATGAACCTGAATCACCTGCTTTGAACCCCTTGCTTCGTAGAGAAGCTCCCCAAACGCAGCGACCTTCATAGCTGATTTACATGGCTTGGAATCTAGGCTTCCGCGCTCTACAAGTTCCTGGAGTCGAAGATTGCTCTACACGCCCCGAAAATTACCCATGGTACACGAGTACTGTTGCGAGTGTCCTATTGGGGGCTTCTAGAAGCGATGGTCCTGCTTCAAGTAGAATCGTTAAGATAACGTAGTACTGTTAAGCAATGCATCTAAGGTAAAAAAACCTAGCCTTCATGTGAGCTGTAACTATATCCCACCAGGTCTCATCATGGTTAATAACCGGACACAGCCGGAACCCTAAACCCTGCAAATCCTAATGGGAGGCCCAAATTCAGGCCAAACAGTCTGCCGAGCTGCTGCTGCTCATGAACCCCCAGGAGCTGCTCCAATCCCTGCAGGAGCCAACTCTTGTGGCTTGTGAGACTTAGGTCTTAGGTTCTACGGATGTTTGGAGAGTTGCGGCGTTGGGGTGTTGATGATTTGAGGATGTAGAGTTATTGTGGGCTTTCCGGTCTTTGGGTTTTCGGTTTCGGGTTTTGAGCCCGCCCTAGCTGCCCAGATGCTTGTTGTTGGAAGAGTATCGAGAGTTTCGAGAGTTGTGCTGCTTGCGGCTCTCTGTCTGTGAAACACGCACAACTTAGACTCTGACCTTTGGGAGCGGGGTCTGCAAGGGCAGCCCTCCCAGAAAGACTTCGCCGGAAAGCGAGGTGCAACCATAGCATGCTTCGACGATTTTTGGAGTTGTGTTGGGAGAGTCTCTTATTCGGGGTTTGGGCTTCGTTGGATGCTGCGCACTGCTTTTGGTGTAATGCCCTCTGGTGGTTGTCGGCGAGCCCGGCCACGGTGTTCTCGACAACATATTACCTCCGGGTTCTCATAACACGATGACATGACTCCTCATCCGATCTCGTTTAGGACTATCCTGAGGCTGTAGCCGCAGCCCACATTCCCGATCAGCTCTAATGCCTCAAAAGTCAAATCCGAATGATACCAAACCTGTACAGTCGCCGTTTCACCTGGAGCCACAGCAAACCCCAAAACCGACTTTTCCAAATTCCAAAGTCTCCCAGAGCACTGCGCAACCCGCGAAACCCTGTCAACGCCTTTCTTTGTTTCAACCGTTTAGACCTGGCTATAACCCAATCAATGTTGATCAAGATTATAAGGCACCTCGAGAACTTCGTGCATCTCCATCCGTGCTGGGCGCCGCTGATGGAAGGGCTCCGTGCCCAGTGGAATGAACTAGTACGAAACACAGCTGCAAGGTCGATGGAGCTTGGGCTGTACAAGCGCGGGAAGAGTTTCATGCTAACTGCTATTCAGTTGCTATTCGACGAAAAGGGCGAACAAGAGACCCGCGCAAAACATCGACTGGCAGGCCTTTGCCTTTGCTTGTACTTTCAAGCGTAAAAAATATATATATATATATATATATATATATATATGTATTAATATATGACACACAGGCGCCGTTCCAATTCTGATCCTGTGCGGCTGCGGGAGACAGGCGACTTGCGACATTCGGAACCGCTCGGGACCGGGTCTGCCGACCTGAGCTCTGGAAACGTAGTGCCGGCCGAGTGGAGATGCTGAAATCTGCCCTCTTCAACAGCCCTGGGATTCCGAAACCATTCCGTGCCTGACTCTCTCATCTTCCACAGAACTTCCACATGCAAGTCACAAGACTGTTTTCCCCCGATGAGCTCGTACTTGCGTGATCTTGCGTGTTGGATCAACATTAACAGAGCGGCCAGCGGAAGGCCATACCCCTTCTGTCCATACATGCCCTTATCTTCACCGAATCAGAGATCTGAGTGTTTTCCGTGACGATGTGCAGACAGAAATAGAAACAAGTATCGCAATATGCATGCATGCATGCTTTCATGCATGCGCACATAAAGATGTCTTCTGCCTCTGCATACGGACATGCATTTTTATAACAAAACAGAAATGACGCACAAAGCCAATCCTCATAGCAATTTTCTCCAACGGGGCTAAGCCTGTGAATGATGTATATACACAACTCCATAGCTCTAGAGAGGCAACGTAGTGGCCTAAGCACCTTCAAGAAGCTCCCGCGGATTATAGTTGCAGGTGACACTCAGGTTGGAGAAGGCTTGGGGACGTAGCCTATGCAGGCTACTGTATGCAAGGTTTCTGAAAGGACGGCAGTGCAAGCTCCTGCAGAGGCTTCCGGCTTGCGGTTGGGGGTTGACCTATGGATTCAGACAGAGGATTTTGGGGCACAGCCGGATTACACATGGTTTTTGATTTTGACACGGTCCCACAAAGATCTACTTGTCAAGTGGAACTTCCATACTAAGTACTACTGAGGCAACAACAACAACACAAACGATACAAACGACACCGCCACCGCCACCACCACCACCACCACCAACAACAACAGCAACAGCCACAGCGACCACGACCGCGACAGCCACAGCAACAACACCACAACCACCACCACCACCACCACCACCACCAACAACAACAACAACAACATCAACTACAACTACTGGTACAGCTACAGCTGCAACAACAACAATTATTGGACGCTGAGCGAGCGGGCTCTGCTCATTGCAACAACAACAACAGCAACAACAACAACAACAACAACAACAACAACAACAACAACAACTACTACTACTACTACTACTACTACTACTACTACTACTACTACGACCGCTACCTTTACAACCACGAATACCGCTGCACAATGCTGAAACACGTCATCGCAAAAGCCGCGACGAAGACCTGAACCCAAAGTGATCCCTTCAAGCCCCAACCCACAGACTTTGCTAAGCTTTCCCAGACCCTAAATAAAACCAAGACTCGACCCCAGAAACCCCAAAGCACCAGCCAGCACGACAGAGCCTCGATCCTGCTTTGGGTGGGCAGCCTGTATCTGGCCCAAACCTTGGGACTTCACTAGGGACTCGTTCTTCATTCGAGGCCCAGGAGTTTTTTGTAGTTCTTTGTGTGCTTCATGTGGCGAGTGTTAAGCAGTTTACCACGCTTGCAGCGACGGAGCAATCACAACGTGGCGACGGCTGCTAGGATCGGTGCCACTATGGTAAAGCTCTCAATAACTCTCGAGACCAGGCACTGGGCACCCTGGCCCTCCATGACGGAGGCTATCGGACTGGTCTTACACCCGGCAAGCACGGCCCAGGTTTTCTCCACAGGTGCCGTTCTGATAGCTACTTCGGAAGATGCTGGAGAAGCCAAGAAGCCAGGACCAGCAAGCATGGCGAGGTCACGCCCACGCGCGCAGCTTCCCGGCGCTCATGTCAGCCTGGCCCTGCACGGCACTCTTCGTCTTGCGTGTAATCGCATCCTTCAATGAATCCTCGGTTGGTTTGCCCTCCAGAAGCTTGAAGCTCATCTTCCGGCCGGCCTTCGTGGCAAAGGCATAAGCCTCAAGGCGCTGCACGTAGCTGGTGCCATGGAAGGCAAAGGCTGGCGTGACAACGCCGCCGCGCCGTCCAGGCTGGATGGCCTCCTGCTCCTCCACAATGACCAGGGCACCGGTAACTGCAGCCATGGCAGTCACCTCATAAGCTTCTGGCCCTGTGTAGTGTACGTGGGCCCACTTTCCATCCTCTCCCTCGCCAAGAGCGAAGACCTCAGAATAGAAAAGTGCACGAGTCTCGGGTGGAGGCCCCTCGCCAGGTTTGGGCATCTGCCCCTGCGCCACTTGCTGTTTCATCATCTGAGCTGCTACTTGAGCTTGCTCGGCACTTTCTATGGGCGCCATTGCCTTCAAAGCCTGCTCAGCGGCTCGCTTGCTGGTCGCCGCATCCCGGATGACCACCGTCAAATCCCCGTAGGAAACCTTTCCCTTCCCATCCAGGGAGGCCTCCTCGAAGAGCAGGCGACTGCGCCGGAGAATTCGACCCCCGGTGTGGCCATTGTAGGCCGGCTGATGCCACAGGGACGAGTAGTTAGGATCCTGCAGCGCCTCCTTACAGTCGTACTCCTCGGGCTTGGGGGCCCGAGAGGGACCACCGAGACTGAAGGGATCCTGAAAGATTTGGAGCTTCTCCTTCGTCATCTCCTGCATGCTTGCTGCGCTAGTCGCGAAAGTCCCACCCGTAGTGCCCCCTACCGAAAAGAAATACTCCCGGAACTGCTTCAGTGGACCCAACTTCTGTGCCAGGAGGTAGCAGTTGAGATCATCAATGGCGCATACCTGTGCAGCCGCCTGCACTAGAAGGACACCCTTCTGCTTTGCTTCTGCATGGTACCGCTGGATCATCTCGTGCATCCACACCGACTCGCCAGAGACATCCACGTAGTGGGTTCGGCTCTTCACGCAAGCGCGGATTGCCAGTTCGCCGCACTGAGCATAGGGCCCGGCCGCAGCAATGAGGACCGTGCACTGGCCGGCGACCTCTTCCATCGAAGCATCGCTGTCTGCTACCAGCGCTTCCGGTGAAGATCGGCACGAGGAACACAATGCACGCAGCCTCTGCATGTTTCGTCCAGCAATCGCCCACTTCCGGCCTTTGGACGGATCCTTTTGACTACAAACGAGAGCATCCAAGTGCTCCACCATCAAACGTCCGGTGAACCCAGTGGCGCCCAGCACGACAATGTCGTAGCGTCGAGCGGATTCCACGCTTGGAGCCTCGATCGCTGAGCTGATGCCCAGTGTTGGTTTCGGCTCTTCTGCCAAGCTTAATCGCAGGCCACCAAAGGCTCCGACATTGAATCCCCACTCGGTCTTGTCCTGGTTGGCTGTGAGAGAAGTCCGTGAATCGCCGAGGTACCGCATGGCGACACTTGAAGCTCAGAACATGCAGCACGCGATACGCAGGAAACCAAGTGCTTGTTGGTACAAGACAAACATTCACTGAGGTGGCCGAACCAATGTCTGTCGTCGGCAGGAGTACGCTGATTATGTTCTTGCGTAGTCTTTAGCATAGAAAACGCATGCGATGATTATGAAATGATAGCAGTCCTCGTAGGTTCAGTATTCCGATTTTCGAGGTCTACAAGCACCGGAGCCGACTCGAGCCCAAGCCCAGAGACTTGCGGCAGCAAATTCGCCCTTTTACGTGAGAGGCTGCAACGATCGGCTTTATATATCATATCATTTCACTTAGGTTGGGCTTCCCTTCATGTTGAGAGCCCCTCACGTGTATGTCATCTGCACGTACCATCCACACTCGCTAAATCGAGCCCCGAGCAGTTGTAGCCCACACCCGGCTTGTCGAAGACAAAGACAGTCTTCTTCCCATAGCAGGCCTTGGAGAGGGGTGTCATGTCTCCTGGAGGATTGGGCACAAAGGGCATGTAGGGTCTCGGATGGGTCCGGGCGTTGTGGCTGAAATTCGGGTGCTGAATCCTTGCACTCCACTTTCAAGGTGCAGTTTAGGATTGAGCACGGAGGATCCCGAATAACAGCAAATCTCCGATGCGCTGCTGTAACTCTAAGACAGGCTCCTCTTCGGACAAAACCACCATGCCCATCAAGGTCCACTCACCGTCAGACGAAGACTTGCTTGCCGGTCCGTAGTGTGCACTGACCGCACTATTGCGAACTTCTACCATGCAGGCCGGTATGGCGCTGCAATATGATCTCACATCGCTGCCCCTTGAACGTGGAACAAACCGACACCCTCAAATCACGAATCGCAATGCTCGCAAACGTGCAGTAGCCCCTGAACCGAGGGTCGCGCTACTGGGATGTGGTTGCAAATCCTGAGCTTGGCTGTAGCAGGCAAAGCCGGGTGCAGGTCCCGCGGTTTCGCATGGTTCGGGCGTCTGGGGTCTTAAAGTTGTCGGTCATGCAAAGGGCTGCCGTGGCGAAACGTGAGGTGGCTTGGGTGGGACCACATGGCTTGCCTGGGTATGACCACGAGGCAATGCCGGGACTTTTGCAACCGCAGCAAAGCTGTTCTGCTCCCTGGGAAGACCAGGACACTTCGCCTATTGCGCGCATGCGAGAACTTCCCTGGACCCTGAATTCGAAGAACCCGACACACGACAATGCAAACTCCACGCCCAAATCCCCCCACTGTCTTCTCAGGACATCTAGCTAGGGTCTGAACATCAGCTGCACCGTCTCGCGCTTGAGGACACGAACTCCATCAAGCCTTTTTCGGTCTTGGGATCTGAGGCTTCAACTTGTTCCTGGGTTGAAGGCTTTCGGTTTAGGACTGTGCACGGTTAGGTCATTGGGCTTACTGGGCTGAAGGGTTGGAGTTGGATGTTCGCAAGCTTTAGATTTGGCAGCTCCGTTAGCACCCTGTGGACACCGCGAGGCCGCATGTTAATTCAAAGAACACTAGTGGCCAGCAGTGGGAACCAACAAAAGTTTCGGGAACCAAAGGGGGTGTGTTTGAGACTGCAAACCGGTGGTGCAGAACCCTTGCCATAAGCACATCCAAACCCTCTGAGGCAAATGCTCGCCAAAGTTCCGCAACATCATCAGAAACCGGAGGTAGTCATTGAACGTGCTGACCTGGCAAGCATTTTGGAACTGCAAGGTCTAAAATGTAGGGCTTAGGGATTACGCGAGTTAAGTGTTTTTAGAACGAGGCGAGCAAATACTCCGGAATTAGATGGGATGTGCAAGTACATTGAACTGCGTTGGAAGTATACACCACTAGGCTGCGGGCCATGCCCCCTCGCATCACCAAGGGGACATCCACGGTGCCACCGGCAGACCTCTGGCTCGCACGCGACGGAGATGTTTACGCACTAATTGGTTTTCGAAGAGCTTGCCGTTTTGCTGGAGTTGCTTGTGCAAACCTGTCATGCTACTTGTAGAGCTGTTAGAGCGGTCGCCTACATGTGTCTACCCAGTTCTGCCACCAAGTCTCAAGTGCTTCCGTGTTTGATCCTGTGCCGTGCAATGCTAATGTTGCTATTGTTGGTATCATGACACTGGCTGCTGCTGTTGGTCTTGTTCTCGTGCTTTGTGGTTGTTGGTTGTTGCTGCTGCCGCTGGAGATGGTGTTGCTTCTACTCTTATTGTCGTTGCCGTTGTCGTCGTTGTTGTTGTTGCTGCTGCTGCTGCAGTTGATGTTGCTGAAGTGACAGTAAATATTATTATTGTCACTATTGTCATTAGTAGTAGTAGTCGTCGTCGTCGTCGTAACAGCAGCAGTAGTTGCAGCAGCAGCAGTGGCAGTGATGGTAGTTATGGTAGTGGTAGTATCATAGTACTAGTTCTAGTTGTTGTGTTGTTGTTGTTGTTGTTGTCGTTTCTGTCCGCGTGCTTGTTTCTGTTGTTGTGGCATCCCGTTTCCGAGTGTTAGTACCTGCCAGACCTGTCGGATTGAGAGTTTGTTTTGAACTTCCACAGGTGGCCGGAGTTTCTCCACGACGTGCTTGTAAAGCGAGTAAAGGCAGCAGAGCATTACCTTCGGGGGATGAGCTGGCGGTTGCCGTTGCAGCTCGCTGAGCAGATGCTCGAGTTTGAAGTGCTCTGGAAGTACAAGGCAAACTCTTGGAGCAACTGCCCCAAGTGCGGACGTCTCTAGGCTCTTGGTGCTCCGACGCTCAGCACGTCTACCCGCAACATCCAGCAACCCTGAGCCGCCAAATCCTGAACCCTCATTGTCAAGATATCCCTAGACATGCAACTATGACAGACCTGGATCCATGCCGTGGCGGAGGTTACAACTCGAAGTGCGCACAGCTCCAGGCAATACTTTGGAGACGTTGTTCCCAACCTCGGCGACCAGTTTGGTTTCCATAGTCCCTGCCCTCCTGGCTGTGTTCTTAAGCCACGGATGCCCATGCAGCGCAAAAGCAGAATGCCAGCGAAGCCAGCTAGTATGTACACGTGGAATGATTGAGTATTATCTACACACATACATATGTACATATGCATATAGATGTGCCGGTATACACATACAGAGAGAAGAGAGAGAAGGAGAGAGGAGAAGAGATAGAGTCGGGATGTTCCATAGTTTCAACAGCGGGTCGGGCATGTTACTGCCTAGCCTTAACAATCTTACAGATGCCCAATTACTGTCATACTGGTAGCGTGCCAGCTGGCAGTCGGGACGGGATCACCAGCGACCAGGTTTGAGCTAAACCACCTCGAACTTACCATGCAAGGATCCTTCTTGTGAGTTGTGCTTGAGTCTGACGGTTGTTGGTTCAGACTTCACAATGGTCCGCATGATGCAACATGGCCCTCACAAACACGCCCAGCAGAACAACACCAGAATGTACAGAGTTTGTCACCCTACACTTTGATTGCTCTTTGCTTTCGTCTTTTGCGGGCTCTTTTCCAACTGCTACCAGATTGAGGTTTCTGGCTTCAAGGTTTAGTATCTGTGATTGGGCTGTTTATACTTTACCAAAAGCCAAAATCCTTGACATCCAACCGAACGTGGGTTCGTTCTTACATAGTGCACAAGGTCCCCGCTCAAAGACACGTCTGTCTTTCCAGGCTCGAGGCTTGCTGTTTGCAACGTGCTTGCCAAGCCACCAACAACGAGTGCATGATACACGCCTGTCTCTCCATGTAGCACGTACAAGTACTACAGATTACTTCTAGAGGCCATACAGGTAAACACCGAAGTCATAACAAAAACGGTGGGCGAGCCTTCCCGCAACTAACCGCGCGTTACGACTCATTTTCGGAAGTCATAACAAAATCGCTTTCCACCATGTCACCGCGGGATATTTGAGTAGTCTGCAACGTCGCTTCCGCATGTTCAGCGCTGATAAGAAGTCATAACATTTGCTGTTTCCCCCAAGCAACCGCGCCTGACACAAAACATGGTTTCCACACACCGCGTCTGAAACTTTCTACCGAACCGTGGGCTTGGAAGCAACAAGAGGCACTTCCAGTGCTAAAGCTGTACTGCAACCAAGCACAATCCAGCCAGGACGCCAAACGAGGCATTTCCAAGCACAATCCAGCCCGGACGCCAAACGAGGCATTTCCAGTACTAAAGTTGTACTACTACCAAGCACAATCCAGCCAGGACGCCAAACGAAGCATTTCCAGTACTAAAGTTGTTCTACAACCAAGCACAATCCAGCCCGGACGCCAAGCGAGGCATTTCCAGTACTAAATTTGTACTACAACCAAGCACAATCCAGCCGGGACGCCAAACGAGGCATTTCCAGTACTAAAGTTGTACTACTACCAAGCACAATCCAGCCAGGACGCCAAACGAGGCATTTCCAGTACTAAAGTTGTACTACAACCAAGCACAATCCAGCCCGGACGCCAAACGAGGCATTTCCAGTACTAAAGTTGTACTACTACCAAGCACAATCCAGCCAGGACGCCAAGCGAGGCATTTCCAGTACTAAAGTTGTACTACAACCAAGCACAATCCAGCCCCGACGCCAAACGAGGCATTTCCAGTACTAAAGTTGTACTACTACCAAGCACAATCCAGCCAGGACGCCAAACGAGGCATTTCCAGTACTAAAGTTGTACTACAACCAAGCACAATCCAGCCCGGACGCCAAACGAGGCATTTCCAGTACTAAAGTTGTACTACTACCAAGCACAATCCAGCCAGGACGCCAAACGAAGCATTTCCAGTACTAAAGTTGTACTACTACCAAGCACAATCCAGCCCGGACACCACACGTGGTACTAAAGGGACTTTGGCAAGGAACCCGTATCACCAACTACACCGCGGAATGTTACGACCTAGCGTTTTCGCTTCCCCGAAGGATGCTCCGATTTGCTGACATGCGTTGCGACTTCGGTAGTTCCCTGTATGTTCACACTGACCGCGCATGAGACTCTTGAAGAAACTCTTCTGAGACCTGGGCCCATCCGCTGTTGTCTCCACCAGGGTCCACGACGTCTAGGCCTCTGACGACGACACGGTGTGACAGCTGTGCGGCTTCAGGGCATGGCTGCATCGACTGTTTCGTTTCGCGCACATGCTCAGCCCAGTAGATTCCCCCCACAGAGGCCAGCCAACAACATACTGGTAGCCCTTCTTTGCTTGCTACTGAATTCAAGTCTAATCCTGATAGCCCTGAGTCCCAAACCCTCATTCTAACTCGTAATCCCTAGGCCAAGAGCCCAACCCACACGCGCAAGATCCACCTTGTTCTTCGGAGACGGTTGCTTTACTCTAGTGCTGCAAAAAACCGTCCTGCAAGGCGGCAGGGAGATTCAGGGAGACTTTGAAAGAGCTTCTGACATTCTGGTGAAAGCCCGAGGCTCCAACATCCGAGTGCTTCGCTGCTTGGCGCCCGGCGATGAGCAATCTGAGGCTTGCCTTCGATCTCGACGCTCTTGTACCAGGGCCTTGGCGGAAAGTGGGCGTAGTTGCGCAATTTCCCGATGGAGAAGGGCCCTAAAGCTTTCATTGGAGTCTCGACAAATGAGAGACCGTCATGCTGGCGGTACGATCAGTCAATATGAGCGAAGCCCGTAGCTAGCAGGGAATAGGCGGCACGAGGCCCAGCTCAAGGCCCAAAGTACATTGCTCCTTTCGAGGGGTCCTGGTGTGATGACAAGATGAATATCTATGGAAGCTCCAACCGGTTTCGCGTCCCACAGACGGTGTCAAGCTGCCGAGTCAGTTCAAAAACAAATTATTCTCGTAGTAGACAGCTTCGAGGACGGATGGACTGGCTAGGTACCTCAGGCGGAAACTTGCAGTTCGCATGTGTCTTGGAATCGACTCCAAAGCTGTAGAGAGCTCTGGGTGCAAGAATTGGCGGACTGGGGTTTTCGGGCGCCGCTGCCGCTTCGTTTCTGATGTTAGCAAGAACTGTGGAGGGCCTGTAATGGCAAACCTAACACTTCCAAGCTGTCGACCCAATCCGGTTGGCATGCTCCTGGCTCAGGGTGCTTTGGGGGAGCGGAGAGTGTTGCTCCTTTTTCATTGCAACGCTGAGGGTATGAGGGCATATACGCTTATACAAGCAATGCACTCACAAAGGTCGGCAGCATGGGGTATGGCTTTAGGTGCGTTCAGCTTTGAGCTGAGTGGGTGTGTCTACAAACGCCCATTTGCCTGAACTCGAAAAGCTGTCCGTCCTTTGGCACCTTGAAGCCAGTGTCGCGCATCTTCAGAGGACCACAAATTCGCTCTTCGAGGACGGCGTCCAGAGACTGGTCGGTGGGCAGACGTGTTGCGGATAGTCATCATAGAACTCAACTAGGGTTCGCGAATCCGAGCGCATACCATAATCAGCATCGTCGGAAACGAAAACCAGCTTAGGATTTCCACAGGTACAGGACAGGGATGGCATTCAGCGGCACGGTTTCGGATTCTGCATAAGACCTAGCATGTCAGGCTGAGTTATGTGCCCTCGTGCGCGGACGCGTCACATCAGGCTGCGGGCTTGCCGGGTAGATCGCAGCTCTTTCAGATTGCCTTCTGATTCGGGGCTGTTTTCGAACACAGATGCATGTGATTCCAAGACAATCGGCAGGAACGATTCGCCAGGAAGCTCGCGAATTTCATCGCAATTCATTGCCAGGGGTTCGGTCGCTCTGTATGTCGATAAAGCCCCATATCCCCGAAATTCAAACTCCTGGTGTTTTTTCCGCCGCTCGGCCGTCGAAAGCTGATCTCAATTGAACAGGTTGCGATGTAGAGACAGTATGGGCTAGAGCTAGCCGAACGATTTCAGTTTTCTGATTCGTGACCCGGGGCAACTTGCGACCGCCTTGCCAGCAATGACCTCCAGAACCTCGGTCGCTATGAAAGAATACTCAGGGACTCAAGGGTTCTACCTGAGTTTCCTGATATGCCATGAACAGTGAGCTCACTTCAGGCTGGGAAACTTCATACCTTCGACTATCCCATTCCCTACGATACACTTATAGCTTCAAGGTCACAGGCAACCCAATTCTGAACTGAAGCAAAACACCCTGAGATGTTGCAAAGCCGTGTGGCAATGATAACGGTTTGCAGTCGGTAAGACAAGAGTGACTGGGGTGCTCAAGTCTTTCGGGATTGTGGTTCAGCACATGCCGTGGCAATACTCCGCTAACTCGACCGTGAAGCAAATAAAGCAGCCAAAAGAATGCTGGCAAATCATCATCACCGAAGACCCGCCCCTTGCGAACAACTCGTCTTGCAGTGAAGCCCGAACACTCCAAGCAGTGGCACATAACAGCAATGCTAGTGCAATGCTCTTTGGTGACCCTTGCAACTTTTTGAGTTTTCTGTGCTGTGTATACCATCTGCCAAAGCCCCCAAAGGTTTACAGGGACGCACCCCCAAAACCTCGAGGGGCCCTTTTTGCTCACACGCCGTTGCATCATGTCCACGCATCTTCCCAGGCCTCAGGAGCACGTCTATACAAGAGTTATAAAACCCCAAACCCTCAGTCCCAAAGCCACACTGAACAAGTATCCGAAAGCATGCATGACTCCGCTGTCTATGTGTTGGTTACCCCTGTGTAGGTGGGGTCCCTGGCGGATCAGTCCTAGTCCTCATATTAAGTAGGGGACAGCATTATCGGGGATTCAAGACGTCCCTACACTAAAAACCTGCCGATGTTCCAATCGCCTATGGGCTACGGGCCTACTGCCACCATGCATGTTACTCGACAGGTTGCCGGCTTATTTGAGGCTTGCAGCCAGGAGCTGCTTTGCATGACAGGCAGGAGGAAGAACCCGCCCTATTTCGAGGCAAGGCAGCAATGAGCTACGGATCCACACTCGGAGCGGGTTCAAGGGTGTGACGGATCGAGCTAACATCGCTAAGCCTCACAAGCTTCCATTGCCATATGTAGGGGCTGATCGAATCCTGGCTTCCCTGTCGCTATAGCCACTACGCTACCCTTGCAACGCTTTATCAACAAACCGTGGACCTTTGGACTTCCGTCACAGGGCTACTGCCTTCTGAACTCTCACGGGGACGTAGCGACCTTCAGGAGCAGCCCCTAATGTGAACTCCTGAACCCCCCTGAACCCTACTACTGTAGTGAGGCCCAGTAGCAAACGACGGTATTTCGCCTGCTTGGCCACAGGTCAGCGATCGCACAGGCGGACGCCCCAGCTCCCTCAGTTCCGCCGCTGGGCACATCATGATCTGTGTCTCTGCTAGCCGCTAGCTCTAGGGAAGCAGCGGCTATCAGAATCATATCATCATACGATTGAAACACTAAAATCAGCGACACCACCCGCACCAGCAAGACCACCGCCGCTGCCACCACCACCACCAACACCACGACCGCCACAAGAAGCAACAGCAGAACCACCACCACCACCGCCGCCGCCGCCACCACCGCCACAACCGCCAGCAGCTCCGACATGAATTAAAACACCAAACAACGATGAAAGCAATGCCGTTTCTGTGCCAATCAAACAATAATATAATAATACCAGAACAACATGCGCGAGAGACAACACAACCCACTACAAGTAAGTAACAGTAGTAGTAGCAGCAGCAGCAAGGACAAGGAACAGGACACGGACAAGGACATGGACAACAACCAACCAACCACCACTTCGGCAAGTGAATGCCAAGCTTGAGAAAAGAAGAAAAAAGACGGGATCCACACAATCGGAAGTGAGGGCTCGTCAACAGAAAGCTTGACATCGACACCAAACAAACGCAGAAGGGGTTGGTGTAGTGCTGGCAAAGGTGCACCAAGCCCGGGTGGAGCAAGTCCTCCTGCAGGCACGCAGCACTGGGTTCGGGGATGGCCCGTTATCTTCGGGCTCCGTGTGCAGTATAACAGTACACCCCTCTTTTTGTCTCAAGCCCAAAGGATTGGCCTAGGTTTCTGAAAAAAACACTGGGTACCTTAACCTAAACCCTCCACTTGGCCTATGAAAAACTTATGGTCGTCTGGTGGCCTTTCATAGTTCACAAGTGAGATTTACAACCGTAGGATCATAGATGTCCCTGAACACAGACATGGCTGGCACAATGCAGATATTTTAACTAAAGTCGTCCGAGACGTCACCTCGGGATCGCCATGCCACAGCAAGGCCGTGCAAACACGAAGTCCAGAGTCCTGGAACCACGTACACTGTCGTGGGGCAGGATATGCATTCGAGGAGTCCGACAGTTGAGGCGAGGGACGTAAGACTGGGTGGTTGAGCACTATGAACTGAACCTGCGAATGGAAGTTGTGCTAAGCTGGCATCGGCCGTCTGCTAACGGCCAGTAAATCGCAAGTCTACGTTCCCGATTCCCGTCCTCTTAGCCCGAGAAGCCAGGTCTCCAAATCCACCAGATTACTTCGAGGATACTGAACCGTGAAGCAGGCGGCGGAAGCGCACTGGCCTCCTGCACCTTACGCCGCCTTTAGGAAGGCCGCTCACCCGAAAGCTTTGCTACTTCTCACTGCTTGGTTGAATCATCATGATCAGAACTGCCCGGGCCTGCTTCAGCCACATGGAAGGGCTTTCCGGACAATAACAACTATGAACCAAATATCGTGCAGGTGCGAGCACGCTGGCATCGAATGGTGGTTAAACATGCCTCATTTTCTTGCAGATCTCAGTGCTTCGTCACCCCTCGAAGCCTAAAACCAGTGCTCTCATCAGTCGAGCCCTGATCTGCAATCTGAAACCGAGTCCTCTTGCAAGCCCCAGCGCACTTTGTAGCGAGGAGCCTCAGGCTGGAGGGACGCCTGCTGTACCTCTGAGCATGGGCGGCTTGTCTTTGTTGCCCACACTTTGGGAGCAGGCGCATTCCAGGGTTCTGCGCTTCAGGGTTTCCGGCTCAGGGCTTCTAGGATTCCAAGGCCTTGGGCTCAGGCCCCATGTTGTGAACCGCGTGCGTGCCTCGCTGCACCCCTTGAAGCAACCGTGAGCCTAAGAACCCCATGGTGTTAGCACGCTGCCTGGGGCAAAGCTCTAAGGCGGCCTCCAGAAGATTGGAGGTAGACGGGGTCGTTAGACCAGGCAGCCGACTAAGCTGCAGCTGGCTCGTAGCCTCGATGACATCCCGGGCCTCCTGTCAGACTGTGCCGAGCTTCCGATAAAAGTCAGGGCTTCCGGGTTGCGCATCCGTTCTTTGCACCCCTTGGGAAAAACACTTCAAAACATTCGCAGGGTTAGGTTCTGAGTTGATTCTACATCTTACCGTCCAGGCTGACGTTCGGACACTTCTGGCTTCTGAGGTGGTGTTTGTCGATGGTCCGCTTGCAGGCTTCGATCTGCTTCGACGCAGTTCAAGTAAAGGGATGGGCACAGCTAGGTTCTATCTATGCATGTATGCATGTTGGGTAACAGGTACACAGTTGCAGCAATACGCTAACAGTAATCATGGGAGCAGACGGTAAGCCCGGTAGCAGGAATAATTCCTTGGCTAGCAATATCTTATTCGTTAAGCTAGCAGTGACTCGGCGAAGCAACGGTTTCGCAGCACAAGAAATCGAGTATAGTAGCCATGGCAATACGTATAAAGCTATGCACGCAAAACGTCATTCAAAAACACATTTGTACAAACGTAAATACATGCATGCATGAATGCATACATACATGTATACGTACGCACACACTGCGTCACACATAGGCACGTTCATGCATACTTACCTGGCGTTATGTTAGGTTACGGTCCGGTATGTTGCGCTGACGTTACTATACATACAGTCTGTGAGTCATGTGTGCTGGCAGGTCTTTGCACAAAACCTGCCTGGGCAGCGAGGTCCAACGCTTCCCAACGTGTCGCGAAGCTCGCGACATGACCTGAGCACTTGATCAGGATATAGAACTTGCACCTACCACAAGCACAACAAGGTACGTCGCCGGTGATCTGTGGTTTGCTGATCCCGCGAGCCCAGCAACTCTGTTATGGGCTTATTACCGGCTGAGTTTTGCTTTCACAACGTTCGGGTAGCTTTTGTGCTGAAGGCTGTGGCGCCACGCACAAATCCGGTTTAATCGCTGCCAACTAGATTGCTGAGTTGGAGCACAAACTCCAACAGACCTTGCAACTCCGGAACATGGACGTTGTCAACTCCCACTAGCATTTAGCACCAGAGACGGAAGAACAGGATGCTTTTCAAGTGCCAGGTTGCTGAGGCGGGAGCAGGGCACCTCTTCGTCAAACTCCATGTGCATGCTGTGCAGCTTGCGGCCCCGGCAAGTGGTCATGAAGTCCGCTGCAGGTTCCTTCGGTGGTGGATTTAATTCACGATGCCACACCAACTACTGCTGCTGCCTCTACTGCCGCAGCGTACTTGGAAACCAGCTACACAACAAGCAGGCCCATCCCTCATTAATCTTGATGCAAGTCTCGAGGAAGTTCAGGTACAAGCGTGTAACCTCCTCGGGATCCGCAGGTCCCCAAAGCGCCAACCGCCCAAAGGGCATCTTCTGAAGAGGCTCCACAAAGCGCCGTGGTATTTTCGGACCAAACCTCCGAAGCGCCAACAAATGCTGTGTACACCCCTTTTTGGCATCTGGGCTTGGGGACTCCCCTAGATCCGAAACCCACCCGAGGCATCTGCCATTTTGACTTTTCTGACATCAGGCTTGCAGGTGGCGCCTTTTTGTATTTCGTTTTGTTCGAACTACGCCGTGAAACCTCGAACCGTCAGCCCCAAACAGAGATCACCTAGACATCGTTCATCGATGGCCTTCCTGCAGCCTGCAAAGGTTTTTCTCGGGCAGCCCTTCTAGCGGACACTTAAGTGTTCCCAAAAGCCAACAACCTATACAAGTACATCAATGCTTTACTTTGGCGAGCGTACTATGGCTGCCCTGGAACGGAGAGAAGCATCTACCACCTAGCAGGAAGCCGAGGATCATCTGAGACATCAGTGTTACATTTTCGGTCTCCTCTGTCCTTGGTGGGTCGTGCACAAACAGTCTCTTGGCAAAATGCATGTGTTGATGCCGTGTCCTTGGACTCCCGGCTCGGTGCGGGGTAGTACCTTAAACCTTAAAGGCAACCATGAAATACTTCCACGACGACGAAAGCGGCTGCGAGTGCGATGACGACCACGACGCCTACGTCTCTGATTACTAGTTCTACTAGTGCTGCACTACGACGACTACTACGACGACCACTACTACTACTACTACTACTACTACTACTACTACTACTACTACTACTACTACTACTACTACTAATTACTACTACTACTACTACTACTACTACTACTACTACGACTTCAAACAATGTTCCCAACTTCTATTACTACTTCTGCTACAGCTACTGGTACTAGTACTAGTAGTGGCACTACTGCTACTACTACTACTACTACTACTACTGCTACTGCTACTACTACTACTACTACTACTACTACTGCTACTGCTACCTCTACTTCTACTACTACTACTACTACTACTACTAGTATTAGTATTATCAACACCACGATGACTACGGAAACGACGACGACGACTGCTTCCCCTTTCAACTGCAGCAGCAGCAGCAGCTACTACTACAACTACACTGCTACTGCTACCGACGACTGCTACTACTTACAACTACTGCTGCATCTACTACTACTGCTGCTACTGCTACGACTACTACGACGACAACTGCGGCTCGTACGACAACGACGAAGACCACTGCCAGTGCTACTACTGCTTGTACTCGCGATGCAGCTACGCACTACTACTGATAAGATTAAGAAGCTGCTCTTGCTCCGACGGCTACTCCTCCTGCTAGTGCGACAAGGATCTTGCAGGGCAGTAATCCGATCCAACAGAAAAATCTGGGTTTCCACACTCCGAAGTCTGGCTGGGCCCTAAAGCCCGATGATCCGAACCCTCAACGCTACATCTTTGCCGCTCCTTAACGCAGTCTATGTGGCTGAGTTGACATGTAGAAGCACATCCAGATGTCGACCGCAGGCTCTCCGTCCTAGGGATAGCTGGAAACACTTGGGCTGATATCTTGGCTATAGTGGTATGACTGGCAGCATTTGTACGACTAGAGATTGCATAAGTATATGCATGTAGGGATGCGCATATGGTTTGCAGTGTGCGGAGTTCCCAGGTACTGCTTCAGGCCTTTGCTTGCATCTGTAGAAGCAGCAGCCGCAATGCTGCATTGCTTGCTCTTCCCGTACTCGACCGTTCAGTCCGCAACTATCATACGAATTAGACTTGTTGTTGCATTCGGTCATGGCTTTGGCAGTTGTTCAGAAGCCTCGTCGGCCGTTACTTATCAGCACAGCAGGCCCTCCTCGCTCCTCTGCGTCCACACGCTTCACCCGAAAAACCAGCGATCGGGAGCTGGCAATCTCCAGGGTGTGACCCGAGGATCGCAGTACGGCCATGGCACGCCTTCCCCGCACCACTTGCTTTCCCCACTGCTGGTTACCTCTGCGATTGCCAGGTTTGTTACATACGACGATACTAAGTAGACTTGCTGCTACCAGTTACTAGTCTGGGCTAGTTCCTACAGCTCCGGCTCACGTCGTCGATGTCGTCGTCGTGTACCAGTGCAATATGACAGTACACTGTCGCCACCCACCTGGAGTTTGCTGCCAGAGCAGGACTAGCAGAAGCAGCTATAGCATCGGTGGCTGTACGCTGTTGGAGTACTGGATAAGGCCAGGCAGTACTAGTCGTGGCAGCGGTGGTGGTGTCGGTAGTTTTCGTTGCATCCCTCGTCGCCACAGTCGCCAATACATCATCACTGCTACAGGAAACATATGTGTATACATATACATATATATATATATGTGTGTGTATATGTATATACACACACACACATATATATATATATCAAAGTAAGCAGCGGTAGCAGCAACAAGAAACACCACACTGCAATATCGGCATCAATACCATTGTTACCACAGCTACCTTCAGCACCAGCCACAGGCATCTCCATCAACAACACTTCCGCAATTTGCCGTTCTTCCTGTTGTCATCCGATGGGCCCTGATCCGACCAACGTCTGTAAAGTCATGATTTCCAGCATGAACCTTGCGCTGGGAATCACCAGGATCCTTGTGTTGGTGACGGTGGGGGCAGACGAAAGCTCGTACGTCTAGAGGGGCCGAAGGGTGCAGTGCTGCCCGTGAACAACGTCATCTGGGACTACTGACTACTCTACCTTTTGAAGCCTGGCGACTTATTCCAGCGATGTGTCGGATGCAAGTATTGACGGTCTAGGGTTCGAGCGGAGCTGGGGTCTGGTCTAGGCTTGCATCGTATGGGTTCATCAACCCGTTGGGACAGTTGACGGCACAGTCACAAGCTCCTCCTGCCCCGCCTGCTGAATCTCGAAAGCGGGTCACCGGGAACATGTCTTAAGCCCAACATGTTTGCCACCCGCCCAGCATATAGGCGTTTGGATCTATGTAGGTGGGGCCACAACAAGCCGTACTGATCCTGCATTGTTCAGCCCATCGTGGTGGAGAAACTCTCGCACACACACACACACACATCGGTGTTTCTTCGGTCGCATGAACTCAACAGCAGCATTGGCATTTGCTGCCAAGTGTAGAGGTATGTGCCTTGTTGGGTTTTCGGTACTTCTCATGCTTTCGACGTGTCCGAAAGTAAGGCCGCTTTTTCTTGCATGCAGGTGTACTTCCGCCATGGGCCTAAGCCACATGGGGCTGGTGCATCAGTTCACATCGTGAACCACCGAAAACCGACCCAATGACGCAGTCTGCTCCTTGTCCGTGCTCACGGCCGGAGAGCTTAAAAGCCCTCTCAACCTCAGCCGCTTTCAAGCCCCGAGGCCCGTTAACGTTTCGACTGCAAGTCTTGGGTTACTCCGAAGTTTAACAAATATTACCCGGCCTTAACTGGTGCTCTCCGGGATGGCCCGAATTTCCTTGAAAGAGCTCGGCATAACAATAACATATCACGGCCTCATGTGGAAGCTGATGTGGGAGGGCTGCGCTGTCCCCAACGCTGACGCCTCGCATGGGTTATCTTGTCTGTCGGGAAGCAACATAGGAACTCCAACATCCACATCTCAGACTACCAGGTGGCACAAAGCAAGCTGAAGCTTCGGCTGGCCCTGGCTGGCCAAGGATTGCGGTCGCACGGATTTGTTTTGACTTTGGAACGGAGCACGGGGTCGGCTCGGTGTACGCGCCACATCACTGGTCACCCCTCGGTGCGAGGAACGTCGGGCAGGCTCAATTGCCGAACCCAAACTCATATTCCAGAACATTTATGCACATCCTAACTGATGCCCAGCATCAGTCGAAAATGAAAGACCAGGGCGGCATTGCGATCTAGCATCAGCTGCGCTCAGTACGGGTCGTAGCGTTTGCCCTTTCCCTTGCCCTTGCCCTTGCCGGAGTCGTAGCTGCCGTAGCCCCCACCGCCGCCGCCACCGCCACTGCCACCACCCTGAAGGGTAACGTTGGTTGCCTTGGTCTTGCCACTGCGGGGATCCTCCTCGATGTCGAAAGTCATCTCAGCGCCAACGACCATATCCTCGGACCCGCCATTGGTCAACTGAGAGAAGTGCACAAAAACGTCACCCGAGCCATCAGAGTTCTCGATGAAACCAAAGCCCTTTCCATCCATGAACTTCTTCAGGGTTCCTGTGTATGCCATCGCTCGGGCAGGGGTGCAATGACTCTTGTGGGCTGTGGGCTTGAGAGCAAAACACTCAGCCAATCGACGATTGTGCGCGACGGCCACTGCATGTCGGCTGCTGCCACAACTATCACGGAGATAATGCGAGACATTCAGAATATGTTGCAATCATGTTTGCCTTCTCAAGCTGAACATCTAATCAGCCGCTGCTCATGTTTAATCCTCGTGTCGACACGAGCGCACGAGACGAGAGTCCTGACTACTGTACGTGTCCTACTATCTGTTCAGGCCGAATGTCCTTCAGACACGTAGAAACACATTGGAACAAAACTCTGTGAGAACACTAATTGCATGGCACGATGGAGATCGATAGAGTGCCAGCATTAGCTAAAGCAGCGTGACGACCTAGCATCAGCTGCGCTCAGTATGGGTCGTAGCGCTTGCCCTTTCCCTTGCCCTTGCCCTTCCCGGAGTCGTAGCTGCCGTAGCCGCCACCGCCACCGCCACTGCCACCACCCTGAAGGGTAACGTTGGTTGCCTTGGTCTTGCCACTGCGGGGATCCTCCTCGATGTCGAACGTCATCTCAGTGCCAACGACCATATCCTCGGACCCGCCATTGGTCAACTGAGAGAAGTGCACAAAAACGTCACCCGAGCCATCAGAGTTCTCGATGAAGCCAAAGCCCTTTCCATCCATGAACTTCTTCAGGGTTCCTGTGTATGCCATCTCGCGGGGCAGGGGTGCAATGACTCTTGAGGGCTGCTGGGCTTGAGAGCAAAACACTCAGCCAATCGACGATTGCGCGGGAAGGCTACCTCATGTCGGCTGCCATCAGAAACGGTGTCGCTACTATCACGCAGATGATGCGAGACATCCAGAACATATTGCAATCACGCTTGCCTGCTCAAGCTGAACATCTAAGCATGCCACTGCTCATGCTTCATGCTCGCGTTGACACAAGCGCGCGAGAGTCCTGACTACTGTACACGTGCTGCCATCTGTTCAGAATGACTGTCCTTCAGACATGTAGAAACACCTTGGAACAAAACCCTTGAGAACACTAGTGCGCGGCACGATAGAGTGCCAGCATTAGCTAAAGCAGCGTGACGACCTAGCATCAGCTGCGGTCAGTATGGGTCGTAGCGCTTGCCCTTTCCCTTGCCCTTGCCCTTCCCGGAGTCGTAGCTGCCATAGCCGCCCCCGCCACCGCCACTGCCACCACCCTGAAGGGTAACGTTGGTTGCCTTGGTCTTGCCACTGCGGGGATCCTCCTCGATGTCGAAAGTCATCTCAGCGCCAACGATCATATCATCGGAACCGCCATTGGTCAACTGAGAGAAGTGCACAAAAACGTCACCCGAGCCATCAGAGTTCTCGATGAAACCAAAGCCCTTTCCATCCATGAACTTCTTCAGGGTTCCTGTGTATGCCATCGCTCGGGCGGGTTGCAATAACTCTTGTGGGCTGTTGGGCTTGCGGCTTGAGAGCAAAACCACGCGGGACAGCTGCTGCTACATGTCGCACAATCAGAACCGGGTCGCGACTATCGTGGAGATACTGCGAGGCATCCCCAATGTGTTTCGAACATGCTTTCCCTCTGAATCTGGACGTCTACAAATCTCTACTTATAAACCTCCAGTCATCACTTTTGTCATTTGCCTGCCTGTCGGCTGACCTCTGGTGGCAATAAGCGTGCGGGAGCCCTACCATCTGTTCAGACCGAATGTCCTTCAGATGCGTAGAAACGTTGAGGAACGACAGTCTTTGAGAACACTAGTGCATGGCACGAAGGGTGCCGGCATTAGCTAAAGCAGCATGACGACCTAGCGTCAGCTGCGCTCAGTATGGATCGTAGCGCTTGCCCTTTCCCTTGCCCTTGCCCTTCCCGGAGTCGTAGCTGCCATAGCCGCCCCCGCCACCGCCACTGCCACCACCCTGAAGGGTAACGTTGGTTGCCTTGGTCTTGCCACTGCGGGGATCCTCCTCGATGTCGAAAGTCATCTCAGCGCCAACGATCATATCATCGGAACCGCCATTGGTCAACTGAGAGAAGTGCACAAAAACGTCACCCGAGCCATCAGAGTTCTCGATGAAACCAAAGCCCTTTCCATCCATGAACTTCTTCAGGGTTCCTGTGTATGCCATCGCTCGGGCAGGTTGCAATAACTCTTGTGGGCTGTTGGGCTTGCGGCTTGAGAGCAAAACCACGCGGGACAGCTGCTGCTACATGTCGCACAATCAGAAGCAGGTCGCGACTATCGTGGAGATACTGCGAGGCACCCCCAATGTATTTCGAACATGCTTTCCCTCTGAATCTGGACGTCTACAAATCTCTACTTATAAACCTCCAGTCATCACTTTTGTCGTTTGCCTGCCTGTCGGCTGACCTCTGGTGGCCATAAGCGTGCGGGAGCCCTACCATCTGTTCAGACCGAATGTCCTTCAGATGCGTAGAAACGTTGAGGAACGACAGTCTTTGAGAACACTAGTGCATGGCACGAAGGGTGCCGGCATTAGCTAAAGCAGCATGACGACCTAGCGTCAGCTGCGCTCAGTATGGGTCGTAGCGCTTGCCCTTTCCCTTGCCCTTGCCCTTCCCGGAGTCGTAGCTGCCGTAGCCGCCACCGCCACCGCCACCGCCACCACCCTGTAGGGTAACGTTGGTTGCCTTGGTCTTGCCACTGCGGGGATCCTCCTCGATGTCGAAAGTCATCTCAGCGCCAACGATCATATCATCGGAACCGCCATTGGTCAACTGAGAGAAGTGCACAAAAACGTCACCCGAGCCATCAGAGTTCTCGATGAAGCCAAAGCCCTTTCCATCCATGAACTTCTTCAGGGTTCCTGTGTATGCCATCGCTCGGGCAGGTTGCAATAACTCTTGTGGGCTGTTGGGCTTGCGGCTTGAGAGCAAAACCACGCGGGACAGCTGCTGCTACATGTCGCACAATCAGAACCGGGTCGCGACTATCGTGGAGATACTGCGAGGCATCCCCAATGTGTTTCGAACATGCTTTCCCTCTGAATCTGGACGTCTACAAATCTCTACTTATAAACCTCCAGTCATCACTTTTGTCGTTTGCCTGCCTGTCGGCTGACCTCTGGTGGCCATAAGCGTGCGGGAGCCCTACCATCTGTTCAGACCGAATGTCCTTCAGATGCGTAGAAACGTTGAGGAACGACAGTCTTTGAGAACATTAGTGCATGGCACGAAGGGTGCCGGCATTAGCTAAAGCAGCATGACGACCTAGCGTCAGCTGCGCTCAGTATGGATCGTAGCGCTTGCCCTTTCCCTTGCCCTTGCCCTTGCCGGAGTCGTAGCTGCCGTAGCCCCCACCACCGCCGCCACCGCCACTGCCACCACCCTGAAGGGTAACGTTGGTTGCCTTGGTCTTGCCACTGCGGGGATCCTCCTCGATGTCGAACGTCATCTCAGCGCCAACGACCATATCCTCGGACCCGCCATTGGTCAACTGAGAGAAGTGCACAAAAACGTCACCCGAGCCATCAGAGTTCTCGATGAAACCAAAGCCCTTTCCATCCATGAACTTCTTCAGGGTTCCTGTGTATGCCATCGCTCGGGCAGGGGTGCAATGACTCGTGTGGGCTGTTGGGCTTAAGAGCAAAACCACGTGGGACAGCTGCTGCTACATGTCGGCGCGAACAGAATCGGGGTCGCGACTATCGTGGAGATGCCCTCTCAATCTGGACGTCTACAAACCTCCACTGAACCTCCAGCCATCACTTTTGTTGTTTGCCTGTCGGCTGACAGCGGGTCGCCAAAAGCCTGCAGGAGTTCTGACTACTGTACGCGTGCTACCATCTGTTCAGACTGACTGTCCTTCAGACATGTAGAAACACCGAGAAACAAAACTCTGTGACAGAACACTAGTGCACGGCATGATAAAGTGCCGGCATTAGCTAAAGCAGCGTGACGACCTAGCATTAGCTGCGCTCAGTATGGGTCGTAGCGCTTGCCCTTTCCCTTGCCCTTGCCGGAGTCGTAGCTGCCGTAGCCGCCACCGCCACCGCCACCGCCACCACCCTGAAGGGTAACGTTGGTTGCCTTGGTCTTGCCACTGCGGGGATCCTCCTCGATGTCGAAAGTCATCTCAGTGCCAACGACCATATCCTCGGACCCGCCATTGGTCAACTGAGAGAAGTGCACAAAAACGTCACCCGAGCCATCAGAGTTCTCGATGAAACCAAAGCCCTTTCCATCCATGAACTTCTTCAGGGTTCCTGTGTATGCCATCGCTCGGGCAGGGGTGCAATGACTCTTGTGGGCAGTTGGGCTTGAGAGCAAGATGCTGATGATATCTCAACCAACTCTGTGGCTCCTGGTGGTTCTACTTGTTTCTACACACCACTTTACAGCCGAGGTTCAGGCATTAGCTGCACCCTTGGCTGGAGCTGCACCCTAACTACACTTCACTCTCCAGTCCCCAATCCTCAGACCCTGACCCTGACGCAAACATCTGACGGCGTGGTGAGTGCTGCAGCGCAGCCACGTCTTTTGTCTGTGTCATGTCGAAATGCACCACATATGCTGAAGACGGCTTTGGGCTTAGAGTTACCTCCTTAATCGGTTTACCGGGGTTAGGTTCCCGCGCTGCCATAACCTGCTGCCCGCCGAACAATGTGAAGGAAATAAAAAACCACGCTTTGTTGCCCCCTCCCGATGCTTAGCCTTCGGATTGCAGACTCAGGCTTTCCTGCTCAAGGTGAGGGTGCACACCCTTTGCCTCCAAGGCGATGGCTAAAGCGACGAACTTTCGCTCGTGAATGACATCCGCCTAGGTCCAGCTCGGGTGTT